ACCCCCCCCCCAAAAAAAAAAGGATTTAACATTTAGTTGCGCGTAGCCTTCTCTCACGAGTTTCTTTTTCTCTCTGTATTTCCCAGGAGTGTGATCAAGTCCATATAGACGACGTGTCCTCAGATGACAACGGTCAGGATCTGAGGTGAGTTGATCTCTTTTGGAAACCTACGAGATGCCTTTAGTGGTATTTAGAGAAAAAAAGTATGGTCGCTTTTAAGCACAAGGGGGCTATCCCGATAAATGCTGTTTTGAGAAAATCGAAGTTAAGCTTTTGGATCCTTATTCAGTCTCATTAAAAGACAAGGAGAGTTTTCTCTATAACCAAACAAAAATACACACCAATGAAACCAAACTTCTCCTATAGTTAGGACAATGCCACAATGCCAACTTTTGGTGTAGGTCAAGATTTCTGGAAACCCCTGAAATCTGGGTTAGCCCGCCTGTCCTTAAAAGCGTCCAAATATATTAGTTGGCTCCTGTATATTTTTTGTTGTGATTTTTTTGTTGTTTCATTCGAAATCTTTATGGTAGATTTAATTTTTATTTTCTATCTTTCTATATTTTTTCTTAGTCATTATATTTGTAAGATTTATTGATCAAATTGTTTATTGGCTGATTTTTTCAGAACAATTATTTGATTGATGTGTTTCCATTTACTTTATTACATCTATTTTATTACACATTTTTGTGTATGATTTCAATATTATGTATTTATCAGTGTTTATTGATTTATTTATTTACAATTTATTTATTTATGTATTATTTGTTTATTTATTTATTCATTTTTTCTTTCATTTTTTTTGGCCTAGGCTTCTTAATGTCTATGTGTATTCACTGTACATCATTATTCTTTTATATCCTCTATAGTTTATCTGTTATCTGTTTTGGCCGCCTGTGATAACCGATAGCTTGAGTAGGCACCGAGGAGAGGTCTCGCGTACATGAGACTCGGGGTGAGCGGACGTTGCACTCGCCGTGTGATATTGTCCTCATAATGATGATATAATGAACAGCGAACCGTTCTTGAGATAACTGGGCGAGGGGCG